TACAAATTAAGTATATATATATATATATATATATATATATATATATACATATATGTATATATATATATATATATATATATATATATATATATATATATATATATATATATATATATATATAAGTATGTTTGTATAGATATGTATCATACATATGTGACACATAAGTAGCAAGGGTTCGAATGCATACCAGACTTAAATTGATGAATAGTCTGACTTCGCGATACCAGACGTGAACTAATGGCGATGTTAGTAGCCGTTTCCATCTTATCGCCCGTTAGCATCCACACCTTCACACCAGCATTACGCAGCAACTCGAGCGTGGGCTTTATATCCTCCTATGCAATAAATACGAAACAAGAAATTTGAATACAAGCCCTACTTCATGTGCTTAAACATACATTCACGTATGTATACACAAGTCTGTCACTGTAAAGGAGAAAGCCAAAGAGCCTCACTAAGTGGTGATGAACTACAACAAATGCAATCGGATGAGTATATGTTTGGCATCAGACTTTTTTTTCATTTTTGCCATGACGCATAGGTATGTAGAATGAGGGATCAAATAACCTCGGCGTGCGGGCAGTATATGTCTATGGCGTTGTAGCAATCGTATAATGATATATGAAAGGGCCAGCAATTACACATACGATCTCTCTCACAAACATGGCTACACATGCTCAAAACACACCCTTACAATGCGGATGAGCGTACTAATGCACACAACTACTCATGCTGGACAGAAAGCATACATGGCGCAATTATCACTCACAGTCGACTATGCACCCTAAGATACAGCCCATATACGAGACACATAGAGCATCATGCACACACACACACAATCAGTAAACATAGCTCATACAATACAGTAAACATTCCACATACTATACTGAAAACATTCAAAACGCATACAATTTACATTCTACATACAACAGTAAATGTTCCACGTAAAATATAGGAAAAACGAAACATTCTATATACTATACAGTAAATATTCTATATATACAATACAGTAAACACTCTCCATACTATACAGTAAGTATTCTACACACTATACAGTAAACAGTATATATCCCTATACAGTAAACGTTCTACATACTATACAGTAAACATTATATATCCAATACTGAAAACGTTCTACATACTATAAAGTAGCATTCAACATATTATGCAGTAAACATTCTATATACTGTATACAGTAAACATTTTATATACCATACAGTAAACATTCTACATACTATACAGTAAACATTCTACATACTATACAGTAAACAATCTACATACTATACAGTCAACAGGCCATCTGAGATATACATAGTAAATATTAAACATACAACACAGGAAACAGTACACATGCGCTAACAAAGAAAACTTAAAGATTCGAATCACTCGAAATGCATACCTGCAGCTTGTCTTCGACTCCAGTCACTCCCAAGAGCTCCAGTTCGAACTCTATCGACTCGCGTACCTCCAAGATTGCGGCATCTCTGTTGGTTGTTTGCGTTTTAGCCTCTTTCAAGGCCGCACTGAAGTTGTCGTACTCCTACGTGTGTGATTGTGTAAGTGGACAGAGAGATCAATAGTTGTCGTACTCCTACGTTTGTGATTGTGTAAGTGGACAGAGAGAGCAATAGGGAGCTGCGGCTACGTGTACCGAGTCTGAGCGAAACGATACCGGGTGCCATATACATCACTTTAGATACTGAAGAGACCCAATATAGAGGTTCATATCTACGACAATATAAAGGTTGCTACTTCCGCGTAACTGAATACCTATTTCCCAATATAAGAGCTTGGCAAGTGTTCGAGCATCAAACTGCTGTACGACTACAAATGCCGAAGCTTGTCGAAGTAGATTACTAGGTATTTACATCTCAAATATGTAGTAGAAACTCGAGCATCCCGAGTGAATATACGTGTTGGAGAGGATACTCGCCCATGGCAATACATAGCAAGCCTATATATGGCACACATCTTTCGAAAGTAACTAACACTCTGATGATTCTCGTACTTGCGTCAACATTCGTACGTATGCTAGGCATGCATAGCTGAATAAGCTGATGAAGGTACTATCTGCCTTAGGGCAGGCGCATACGAAGATTTGAGTGTCCAAACTTATAAAATGAACCGTGATAAGCCGTAGCAGGCGCTGAGTGAACTCGTGTGAGGTGTCGCCAGTCTGGCCAGCCCACATTGCTTGGCGTAGAGATATGCCGGATAACTATTGTGTGATGTTGCATGAACATTCTCGCGCAGCTAGACCAGAAACGGCACCCGTTAAACAGCGTACACACGGCCAAGTTGAGCATAACCGTGGTAAAGGATAGGCTATATAGTATACACTTCAGCCTGAGGGATTACTTTTGGACCTCCAGTGCCTGGTACCTTCTGTGTCAGCATCTTCCGAGCAATTACCAGAGTTCGCAAACCCTCCCGTGCCATGTTGCCCGTTTCTTCGTCTAACCAATCGTTGAAGGCCACCATCTTCGTCATGATCACATCTGCACCCTATTATGAAAACAGGACAGGGAACACAGGACAGTGTTGTTTAAGTAAAAGACGATGGAGTGTTGTTCATGTTTGCATCTGAATTCTGTGGGTACAGCCAAACCTCGTTGCAAGTTAACGTACTCATCTGCGGGTACAGTCAAACCTTGGTGCAAGTTAATGTACTCATCTGCGGGTTCAGTCAAACCTTGGTGCAAGTTAACGTACTCATCTGCGGGTACAGCCAAACCTTGGTGCAAGTAACATACGCAATGTGTTATTTGTATTAATAGCAAACTGGATAAATTCATATACTGTCGTCTTACGCTTTTAGTTTCATCCATGTGAGTATCCTATAGTTGTCAATTGGTGCGTAATGTAAACTCAACCAAACGATAATCTCCTATCGTAGATATCTCCTTTTGGGATTGGCCGTAGGGCAATGGCAGATCCGTTAAGTAATGTATATAAGGAAGTTTATTAGTGAGCAGAGAGGTAAGTAAATAGGCATAAACTTCATCAGCACACACGCATACATCACACACACACACACACACACACACCTTTGTGAACATTGTTATCTGTTTCGTAAGCTTATCCCTCACGATGATACCCATGCGCTTCGTTTCACTGGTGAATGGGAAGCTCTCCAGTACTTCGTATTTCAGAGGGTCTCCCGAGGGGGTCTCAATGTGCATCTCATTCAAGTCGCGGAATGTCAATGTCAGCCCAACTCGCACAGCCCATTTGACCAGCGCCACTTCGTCGGGAGACGCGGCTTGGTACTCAACTGTCCCAATCTCTTGCAGCACTGGCGTGACCTATAGGTATACAATGGGCAAGTATTTGTATAGTGCTATTCAGCTGGGGGAAGAGAACGTACAAGCCCTATAAAAGTGGGTTGAGCTGGGAGATATATCCTTAGCTTGATACGTGTTGCTGTTTGTTCAGACAAGAATTCTTCGAATGCAGAAAAATATTGATAAAGACTACGCCTGTGATTTGACCTTGAATTGTCGCCGTATAAACAAAGTTAACATCATTTCACATTGAAAAGGGCTGTAAGAGGAACAATAACAAATGGTCGAATGTAACCAATAACAGTGCCCATGGACTGGTGAAATGCTGCTTGCTTGTGATTGGCCTGCCATGCTTCATAATGCAAAGAAATGTGTCCAGTGTGATTCCTTGCTATACGATGTCCATATATATT